AAACTAAAATTTGTTTACGAAAAAACATAAAGTACCAGTAAAAATGACAATTTGACATTTTTTCCCGGTTTTATTGTTGACTTGATTCCATTAAAGTTTCATTATTTTAATCTGATTTACGAATATATCTCAAACTAAAATTAAGTAATGATTTGATTATTTTCTCCATGTTTCATTAATTGATGACATGTACGACTAGTCGTTTAGAATATATGTCTAATAGTTAAAAGAATTATATACCAATAAAAAAACTGTTTACAAAATTTTTAAAAAAAATACCATGAAATTTTTACATAAAATTATATTAAAACATATCTTTTTATTTTTAAATTGATTAGGGTTATTAAAGATTATATGAATAAAAATAACTGACAATTACAATAATAATATATCAGCCCAAAAGAAGAAATCGCATTCCTGTAAGATATATTCCATTCCATTCCATTCCTTTGTGACAAGCAAACACTATTTTGTCATTCCATTCCATTCTCTTTTCGATTAATGTATTTACCATTATATAATTCATTTATTCTTCTTAGCAGATTTCCTCTTTGCCTTTTTAAACCATGATCCACTCTCCTGCCACAATAATACAAATATTCAGCAACACTCACTCACAATAAGAAACTAGCAAAAAATTCATTATTTAGATGAGTGTTTTCCATGTGATAATGAATAATCATAATCAGATAAATTTAATAATGGTGAATTTTGACAAATTTAATTGGTTAAAAAACTAGGTAACATAAAATAAGGAGTTCATACCTTTTTGTACTGCATGTAAGCAACTCGTCCAGTCAGCTCCTGACCCCTTTTACCAACATAAACCTGAAGGATTATGAATACTTTAAAACATTTAAAACAACAAAAGAATAACTAGTATTTCAAGAATTGCATTTTAATGTATTCAAGTATAAACCACAAACAATAACTTCTGAAGGTGTCAAATGTTTGAAATCTTTTGATTATTTAAGAAAGAAAAAAGATAAAATGTGTATATAAGTAATTTTATAGTACCATCGGCTTCTGATGATGATATCAAACAAATTATTTAAAATAAACACTTAGAACTTGAAGTCAACCATAACAAACTGGATAGCATTTGAAAATGATGATTAAACCAAATGTAGAATTAATTTTTAATAGTTGTTATAAGCAAATAAGTAAAACTTTGTAAATTAAGAACTTTTTTAACCAATTAAACTTACCCTTTTTCCATCTTGACCTGTTACCCAATATCCAGCAGATTGTTGAGCTGCATGAGTCTTTCTTTTTGGAGTGTTTTTTGTTATAATCTTGTTATCAACACAAAGCTTTGGGTTCACCCATCCTTGTGATGTCTCTTCAACATTCTCTTTTCTTGAAATTTTACTCCTACTTTTTGAGCTTTTCTTGTCTTTAATATCTCTAACACCTTCTTTTGAGCTTGCACCACACTTAAATTGACCCCTGTAACAAACACACAAACATGTCACTCTAACAAGAATATGTCATTACACCATAAACCCCAATTAATTGCAACTTTTTTGTGTCATTCAAAAATATGGAATTAGGTGGGATTAAGATAATGGGACAAAAACTACAACTTTTTGACTTTTTGTTTTTGTCATCCAAAATGAGACAAAACTTGCAGCTTTATGTCCTATTTAGTGTAACAAATGGCAGCTTAAAAGCCATCAGTCAAATAGTTAAATGAACTGGAAGCAAAGATTACATGTAATCGATTTCTGATGTGCTGGGTTGCTCAAGCTCTCTATTTGAAATTTTACACAGAGGAAAAAAATTAGGAAGGCGACTTTGAACAAGCTCTTGGATTCTTAAATCATCGTGAAAAAAGTAACGAACAGCAGGAGGAAGAGAGTCATCAAAATGTAATGAACTTTTCTCTGATCTGAAATCTTCACATGGACTTTCTCTTTTTGTAGTGGATAAATCAATTGATTCTGATATGTTACATTTGTTATTATTAACATTGTCACTGACAGAAGGATCATCTGAATCAGAGTCAGAACCAGTCAACAGAAGTCGTCTACGAGGACGGAAAGTTTGACTTTCGTTTCCTGGTTGACTAGTCAAAACTCCTGGCGTGCTTGGTAACTTTGAACTGGTGGAGAGAGGATGGTTTTGTGTATGCAGATGTTCATCTGATATTAGAAATAAAAACAGTATGTATGAGAAGAATGATGTGAAGACAATTTGAAGATAGAAACAACAGATAATTTAACAAACAAGTGAACAGAAGTCTCAAAATGGGCAATTCTGAAACGTATATCAAGCAGAAACACAATCTAGGCCTCTACGGATCTTCAGTAAGAACGTTATGAATAAGAGAATCACCAAATGTATTAAAAAGCTTAATATTAACAATTCTGAAACACGTGTTTCAGAAATCTGACAATTAGGGTTTCAAGGGTTATTGAATACCAAAGAATCACGTATTGTTTAAGGTAGCATTGAAGAAATAACTTCAGTCAAGAACATACAACTTCAGGTTACTAATTATGATCTTAATAGATTGGGATATGAGCTAAAGTTAAGCATGGATTATAATGAGTATATTGATACTTACTCGGCTGATTAACATTGTTCCACTTATCATAATTTCAAAATGGATTGAATGCAAATAATATCATTTAAGGCGACATTGATCTTAGTCGTGACCAAATCCCTACATGAAACTTTTTGCAAAGTTGGAAGTGTTCTCATGGTGCTCCAAGTGTATTTCTTTCATGAGGGCATGCAATCGACTGATAGATGTTGGTTGTTCAAATTAATTTGATTCAATAATTTATCATTATATGTTCATAGAAATGAGAAACAATTACTGGAAGTAGATTGTCACCAGTACGCATATCCTCCTTTGAACAGAACACGTCATCATCTTCATCATCAACAACCGCACTGGAACGCAATGCCACCTCAGGATTGGCTGAAACCGTTGATGATGTTGTCACATCGTTGGTAAGTACACGCCGGAGGCGCTTCGACTTCGGAGGAGGATCCGAATATTCAGGCTCCGAATCATCGACAATTAGAGTTTCATAATCATCATCTTCACTTACAGAAGTGATTTGGGGCTCTGAATCGAGTAGGTCATAATCAAGCCCTAAAGAGAATGAAGGTGCTTCAAAATCCACCATGAACCCAGAAGCACAAAATCAGTATCCGTTTATTGTAAGAAGGTTTTCGATTTTCCCAAACAAATACGTTATGCAACGAAATTAAAACAGGAGAAATGGATAATTACAATGGTTGTTGTCTCTCTGTTCATTTGGCATGTGGGAGTGTGAGTATCCTATTACATTTTTAATTTTTATTCTTTCATAATAAAACTTATTTATTTTTAACTAAAGTTAGATAAAAGATTTTTAACTAAAGAAGATAAAAGATTTTTAAAATGATGTTTTATGAGCCAGTGGCATGCCACGATAAATTTTCACGAAAATAAACGAAATTTGAACAAAATTGAAATTCGAATTCGTTTTCGTATCAAGTGTAAAAAACACGATGTCGTGTTGTGTCGTGTCCGTATTCAAAATTCGATATAAAATTGACACGATTTAGCATTTGTTTATCGTGTTTTTGTGTTTGTCGTCTTATGATGTCATAGTTAAAAATTATATCATTAAACTAATTGTTCATAAGCTTGTTTGTACATAAGCATAAAATCAAAGACAAAATTGAAATTTATGATGTCATGGTTATTCGTTAGTGAATTCTAATAAATTATGTCGTTAAACTAATTTAGGAATTTTAAAATTAGAATAAAAGTCTACATTAATAAAATTGATATCAATTTATTATAACTATTAGATATCAATATTATGTGAAATTTAATTTTAAATATATATATATATATATATATATATATATATATATATATATATATATATATATATATATATCACATGGAAAAAAAATTAAAATAACCATAAAATGAATTAAAATATTACATGTGTCAAAAAAAATCTTTATTTATTAGAATACATATAAAAAATAAAAAAGTTGGTATTATTTTATATTATCTTTTTAAAATAAAGGATATGAACTAAACTAATTATGAACATAGTTGTTAACAAAAATGATATTTTGTCCAAAAATACTCGGACTAATCAAAAATAAATAAAGTATGTCTTTTTCTTATTTTCATAAAAAAAAAAAGTTTCAAAAAAGTTTCCTTATTTATGATGTCTGAAATTAACATTTTCTCCAATTTTATGATTTTGAATTTAATCAAATTTATCGTTTTAGATAATTTGAATCTACACAAATGTTAAGAAAATTTAGACCGTTGTTACTTTATATATTGGGATATTGATAAATAACAAAATTTTATGTTTTACAAAAATGATTATCTTCTCCTAAATGGGCTGCTCTAGAGTTGTTCTTGAAATTCTTTCTCATTTGCACATAAGTTTTTCAAAAAAAAACCTTTTTTATTCATGTCTAAAATGTTCATTATCAAAATGTCTCATATCATCCTTTTCACATTTTAAGTCATTATTTTATATAGTTCTTATCTGTTGTCTCCGAATTTTTGTTGAATTTAAGCAAAAAAAAACAAAATATTTTCTCAAAATTACAGATGTTTTCAATCAAAATGTTTAATTTTAAGTTATTGTATTTTATATACTTTTTATTTGTTGACAGACTTTTTGTTAGATTTAAGTAAACAAGAATTTTCTCAAAACTATAGATATATTCATTATATTTCGAACTTATTTTTTAATCTTTGGAACAGTTTTTTTTTTTTTCCGTCTCCTGGATTTTAGATTCAAAATGTTTTTTTTTTTTTTTGTTAAAAGAAACATTCTAAATGACCCAATCCAAACTGTGGTTATTTTCCACACACGCCCACACACAAAAAAATAAAAAATAAAAAAAATAAAAAGTTCTACCTTTATTATTAACTACGTTATGTTAAATAGGTACCCCTGTTTTATTTTGAGGGTACTAGTAGTAGTTTATTTAATAAGTGAATTTCCAACATGACAATGCAATTAAAAAAAGCACCAATTAACAATATAAGAAACACATAAATAGAGGTTTTCTAATTTGAAAAATATTAACACAAACCAACATGGTTTCAACTATGAAAAAGAAAGAGAAGATTCAAGTTTCAAGACCATTCTGTAGATTCGTATATTGAAATAAGGAAACCATAAAACTAAAACAATACGAGAAGAGAAGTGTTATACTTTTCAGCCGAGTTTGAGGGCAGCAAACGACTTGGCAACATCTATTGCTTCATCCACATGCTTTATATCAGGTCCCTGAAAGAAAGTACAATATTATTGTCATAAACAGATCCTCCTATTAAGTGCTGAATGTATGTATGTATGCATAAATGATGATTAAAAAATATTTGAGAAAATAAAATAGCATCAAACTTAAGGTAAAAAGGAAGGAAAATTACATGCCGTCATGATCATGCATGGTTCACCCATGCCATAGGAATGGAATGAATATTTTTATATATGTTACAAAAGTACAAAACTATTCTATTATTATATTATATTATTCAACAATAATCACAGAATGTAAATGGCAATAATTACCTGGCCTTGAGCAAGACCGCCTTTCCCTCCACCGCCTTTACCATCTAGCGGCTGCAGTGCCGCCTTGAGCCACTCCAACACCTTCAAATGCTGACTTTTATCACTTTTTTCTGGTACACCCGCACAAATTAAAGCCTTCTTTGATACTTCATCAGTGCTAAAAACCATCACCGCCATTCCCTGCTCACAAAACCAAAATTAGTAATTAAAAAAAAATGTATTTTTTTTTTTAAATAAAAAAGGACAACCTACCTTTTGCTCCATGACTTTGACAACTGCTTCACGAATGGCAGCAGTGTCTGAGCCAACTTCAACATGTGAAATGCAGAAAGCCTTTCCTTCAGATAAAGCAACTTCTGCTGCTTTAGTCGCACTTTCAACAGCTTTCTGTATGTTCTCTTCACCCATTTTCTTTTTATTTTTTATCACTTGATTCTGTAAATACAAAACCACCCAACCCATCTTTATCTTTTTACTTTTACTTAAACACAAATACAAAAACAATTAAGCTATTTTCTCTACTGATTGTTTAAAACAGTCATAAATTTTTTTCACTGTTTCGAAACAAGGAAAAAGAAAAACAATTATTTTCTCAGTTAATCTTTTACTCATAATAGCCACCTGCTGATATTTTTTTACCTTATACCTTGAGCTTATAAAATGCTTATTTCACATATTGCTGTTATTGGTATAGAATTGTAAGAAATTGTAAGTATAAGTAGTTTGGAACATAGTCATTTCACATATTGCTGTTATTGGTATCCAAAAATGATAGTTCAGTGGCTAAATCGATAAGTTAGTGAAACTGTGTTATGCAGTTATGCTTATCTCTTTTAAAAAACCAAAAATTAGTTTTTTTAACTAGAGAAAATATTTATGTTGTTAAAAAAAAGGTTGTGTTTTTCTTACCTGTAGGATGGAGATTTTTGCCTTTAGATCAGCCTTCTTTGCTGATGAAATAGCTGCAGACTCTACTTGACCATTCAAAGATGATACTTTCTGAAACAAAAAAAATTTCCCAAAAATATAAAAACATTACTATCAAAGGTAAAAATTATAGAGTATGTTGTCTAAATTGAAGGAGACTTCCCCTTAATTTTCCATAAACTAAACAAGCAACCTGTTCAAGGAGACTTCCTTCCAGCTTTGATGCCTGATTGACTTCCTCCTCGAGTGTAGCTGCTTTTTTGATAGCCTCAAAAGCATATTCTGTAGTAACAGCAGTAACTCGCCTAATCCCCTTTGCAATTCCCTCTTCAGATAAAAGTGCAAATGCCTTTGCCTCGCGTGTATTTGAAATATGCGTCCCTAAAATATATCAAAAAGACTTCTATTAAAAAAAAGAGCGCTATAAAGCCCCATTTGTGTTTAGCATGCTTTGGTCTAGATTAATGATAATGGGAGAAAAATTACTAAGATTTAAAAACATTTTACTCTTGCCACATCAGATTTCGATTAACCTGTATTAACACAAACCTTCTCCAATGCACAACCTTTTCAAAAGTTTATTTTTCTCTATATGAGATATTTTATCAAGCAACACACAACATATTTCTCAATGAAACATTACTTGGTGTTAACATTTAAATAAATAAATACATCATAATGTATGTCAGTTATTAAAAAAAAAAAAAAAGCACCATTCTAATTTCAAATATTCAATATTGGTGTTACTATGTTTTTTAATGATAGACTTTTTAGATACATATTCATTATTCTTTTGTAAAATTAATAAAATAGATTAACTAGTAAATAAGAAAAAAGATTTAAGACTCAAGGATGATTAATGGAGTAAAAAAACGGTTAAAGGAGAGAGTGTGGTTAATGCCCTATAAGGTAGGACACGGACTTGCTCTCGACCTCTCATTTGTACAAAAGACATTAATGCCCTCAAGTCATCAATATTAAAATGCATATATACCTCCGCAGAGCTCTGCAGATATGGATTGCCACTCATCATTTTCAGGATTAGCCAAGAGTTCATCAACTTTTCGACCAATAGCAACAATCCTAACTGGATCAGGATACACCTGTATATATCACCAAGTAATTTTTTTTATTTTCTGTGATTTAAAAAAAAAAAAAAAGAACAAAAACTAAATAGTTTTATACTGCTTACTTCACCAAATACAGCACGTAATCCGTTTACACGTTTTGCATCAGCAAGGCTTGCCTCCTTTGCAGAAACTTCTAGTTCGGCTTTAATTTGTTCATTCACAATGGATTCGATTTTGCGAAGATCTTCTGGCTTTACTGGCTTTCCTGTACAAATTTTATATGTATTTTTTATTGCTAGTGCAAAATAGCAATGTAATTTTAAATATTTTTTTGCTATAGCATCCTACTTTTGGTTCTTTCTATACACCTTTTTTCTTACTATGGTATATAGTACTTCAAAGAAACTACAAAATTATAGCATTGCACTTTTAAAACATCTACAGAATTATAGTAGTGAAAGTCTTTGTATCTCTATAAATGTGTAGATTTTTCAAATATGATGTTGTGACAAGAGCATAGAATGATAAGCTTTACCATGGGAAAAGTCAAATCTTAGTTTTTCAGGAAGAACAATTGATCCTTTCTGGTCAACATGTGTTCCAAGTACTTCCTACAAAAACAATGCAGTGTTAGGGAGTTTTGAGAATGATCAACAAAGGTGACAATAAAGAAAAATTATAAAATCAATAATTTTTCAATTACCCTTAAGGCAAAATTCAACATGTGTGTACAGGTATGGTTGGGAGCAATGCGCTGACGCCTTTCATAGTCAACCTAAACAACAAGATACCAATACCAAAAAGGTGAAACAAAGTACAAGCAAGACACCACAGAAATATTAATGAGAAAAGTATGGAGAATAGCATCATACTTCACCCTTACTACCAATATGGCAATTTAGTTTATTACTTACCCATAATAGCAACATATGTCATTTCGTAACCAATAATAGCAATGTACCTTGCTTCAGTTTTCAGCTATTATAGCAATATACTTACATTTTGCTATCAGTAAGGGCATTGTACTTTATTTTTACATATGTCCATTATTTGTAAAAATATGTAAGTTTGTTGCTAATATGTGTAAAGAAAATAAACATATAGTTATTATGGGTAGAAACTTAATGCACATTGTCTATATTGGTAAACAAAAAAAACGTAATAAAGTATGTTGCTATTTCCTGCAATTTGGCTAACCTTACAAATTACTTCATCGCCCACATGGAAAGTGCCAGACTTCCCACTAATTTTACCAAGATGAATCACATAACCAGCGTAAACTTGAACATTCACAACTTCAAATGATCCAGATGAGCCTCCAAGTACTCCAGTATCAAATATCTAAAACACCAGTAAACTATGTCACATTTTATAAAAATAAACATATAAATTATGTTATGGCGTAAATTACATTTAAAAAAAAAAAAAACACTGTTGCATATCTCATCATTTTTCTAAAAAGATGATTTTACTTGACTGAGACAATAGTGATGAATAGGTCAATAGGCAAACACTAATGACTAACCTGACCACCTTGCTCAGCATAGAAACTTGTGCTTTCAAGAATTATACCAACATCATCACCAACAGAAGCACGTTCCACATACTCACTACCCGTGTAAATGGCTTTTATCACAGTTTTATGGTCCTGGAATTTTTATTAAAAAAAATTATATTCTTAGCAAAATATTAACTTGGCATATGGTGAATGAAGTTATATAAGTAAACAGGCTTGCCTACATACCTTAAACCATGTAAATTTGAAACTGTCATTTGTTGTAGCAACCCCTTTCTTATGGAGTGCTGAGGTGGCATCTGCATCCATGACAATCGTAACAGCAGCTTGCTGTCACAAATATTACATTAGCAATGAAACTACCAGACAAAGATTCAGTTATTTTTCATGGACACAAGATAAGAAAAAAGAACACAAAATGAGGAACCTTATTCTGGGCGTTTCTTGATCTTTCTCTGGCTTCATTCATTGCAATATTAAACCCATCAACATCAACAGTCAAACCTCTTTCTTCTGCCATCAACTGGAAAAACAAAACATATATGTTTATAATAGAAAAACAAATGAAAATAAAATTAAGTAGTCAAAAGAACCCTCCACACACCTGAGTTAGATCCAATGGAAATCCAAAAGTGTCCCACAACAGAAATGCATCATGTCCACTAAATATCTTTCCCTGGACATCTTGAACAGTCTTCTTAAACTTCTCAATTCCCTATATACACAACCATGGCCAATTTAGTCATTGTATAAACTCATTTTTGTTGTTATTCCTTGTTAAAACAAGAAATTTTTATACTGTTTAAAAAATAGCCTAGTTTAATTCTCTCTATATGCAAAACAAAGGATAGATGTCGATTCATTCACAACCATTTTCATTCTTTTCCAATTTGATTTTCAACTTTTTGTGTAAAAAATAGGATTGTAAATAAAGATTAAGCTTACATGGAGTAATGTCCTCCCAAAGCTTGCTTCCTCTTCTGCTATAATCTCCCTGATATGCGCCTCTTGTTGCTTTAGCTCAGGAAAAACATGACCCATTACATCCACCACAACTTTTACCAATCTGTTTCCATCATGACAAAATATTACCAAAAGCCGCATATACTATAATATACACCATATTGTATCCCTTCAATATGATAATATTTCCATTGAGAGAAAAAAAAAAAACATATATACATCATATTGTTGATTTTGAATCAGACTTTCAAAATTTACCCATTGAAAAATCCTTGTTGTGCTTTCAATACTTCTGTTCCATAACGTACAGCTCGCCGAAGAATGCGGCGCAAAACATACTCACGCCCTTCATTGCCTATAAGACGAGAAAATTTATATTATTATAAAAATCAGAACAAGTTATATAGCACAATTAGTCATTATGGTTAAATAATAAAGAAAATTAAACATACATCTTATTGAGTAATACTAAAGCAAACAATTCAGACAGTGGAATTAACCTGGACAAGAACCATCTGCAATGGCAAATGAAAGAGTTCTGATGTGATCAGCAACAACTCTGTATGCCATGTCAATTCCATCCACATCATCTGCCCCCACTTTGCCAGAATATGGTCTGGCACCAGTTGACTAGTCAAAAGCAATGGAAGTCAGACAATGTATATTGCAATTTGCAACTAACATATGTAAAGGAGTGTATTTGTATGTGTTCTTGCAGTTTTTATATTACCTTCTGGATAGCATCAAAAATAGGTAGAAAGACATCAGTGTCATAATTGCTCAGCTTGTTCTGAAGAATTGAAGTCAATCTTTCAAATCCCATTCCAGTATCCACGTGTTTGGCAGGTAGAGGTTTCAAGGATCCATCAGCTTCCCTGTTAAACTGTGGAATAGGAAAAACAAACATGAACCACAATGCCAATGGAACATAAAAACTATGCATGCTTACAAATGAGACAAACTTCAAGATCTTTACCTGAATAAACACATTATTCCATATTTCGATCAATGTTGGGTCATCATTGTTAACTAAATCTGCAGCATCACGACCACCAATTCTATCAAAGTGTATTTCAGTACAGGGTCCACATGGGCCAGTGTCACCCATCTCCCAGAAGTTGTCCTACCAGAAAATTAATGGAGCAAACATGATTAGTTAGCTGAAACCTAAGCATGATTAGAACAGATGAAAAAACTTACTTTACAACCAAAAGGCAAAACTCTTTCGGTTGGAAGATATTTGAGCCATATTTCTCTGGCTTCGTTATCAGCAGGAAGGCCCAGTTTTTCATCACCACCAAAATAAGTAGCATATATTCTATCAGTAGGTAGCTTAAAAACCTGTAAACCAATATAAATGGCACAACTCATGGACATGAAAGAGTAATGGTAAAATGAGATAAAAAGTTGTGGACATTACCGTTGTTAGAAGCTCCCATGCCCATCCAATGGCTTCTTCTTTGAAATAATCACCAAATGACCAGTTACCAAGCATCTCAAAGAAGGTATGATGATAAGTGTCTTTGCCAACATCATCGAGATCATTATGCTTCCCACCAGCGCGAATGCACTTTTGAGTGTTGCATGCACGAGTCAGTTTGCTCAATGATGTGTTAGGATCAGCAGTACCCAAGAAGATAGGCTTAAACTGGTTCATTCCTGTAATTCAAAGTTATTGTTGTTTAGATATCATGATGGATAATTAATTTCAAAACTAAGTACCATATATGTAGACATGTTCTATTTACTTGATCAGTGTCTGGATTCCAAATATCAGTTGTCAAATTAGCATTCAACAGATATGAGTTATCTAAAATTACGTGAAATTAACAATACAGTCATATAGCAATCAATCAGATGAGACGAGATTAACAAACCAGCATTCGCAAAGAGAAGGGTGGGATCATTGACAGGAACCACAGGACTTGATTTCCAGTAAACGTGATTCCTTTCTTCAAAAAACTTTACAAAGGTATCTCTTACTTTGTTGGCCGGCCACTCGACCTCCGCCGCTGCTTGCGAACCCATGGTCTTCACGCGGGAGGAATCTCGCACCGAAGCAACAGTCGAAAAATAAAACCTACCTAAAGCAGACAGGTAATTCTTCCTACGAAGATTTACTAGTAAACAATTTGCCGCTGCTGCCGCCCGGAGTGATAAAGGAGATGCAAACGAACAAGTGACGACCCGACGGCAATCCAACGCTAAATTAAAATTACGAGTGATGTGAACCCTCATCCATCTGTATACGATTTCCAGCAACTGAAGCGACGGCAGCAAGGTTAGGTAGACGTGTTGACCGGCGGGAGTTCAGCTACGTGATGCGGCGGCGATGAGAGCTGAAGGTTTAGGGGAGGATCGGATAACTAGGGGAGCACTCAGTTCACACTTTTTCTAGCTTTAGAAACGACTTTGTTTTACGATATTGGGCCTCAAAACTCCGAATGCTAATCCAATGCTCTATTTTGATTTTGGAAAAAACTTAGGGCAGTTTGTATAGGATCAAATTTTTAAAATGTCTCAAAATTTGTAAGAGAGTGTCACTGTGCTGGATCATTTCACCTTTATTTTTTGTTTAATTGAATTTTTTTTATAAAAAAACCATACTAACTTATTGAATAAATATAAACACAATATAAATCCAAATTTAACCAAAAACCAAAATCAAACAGAAATATTTGACAAATTCATCAAATTATAGCAATCAAAATTGTTTTGTTTTGGATGACATTGCTATAATTAAAGGGTGTTTGGATTAGATTTTTAGCTTATTGCTTATAGTTTATTTGTGGTGGGAATAAGCAATAAGCAATAAGCATGGGAAGGAATGCTTATTAAAATTAGTTTATTTAGCCTAATAAGTTGGATTTTATCCAAACACTTAAATTAACTTATTGTGAGAATAAGCAATAAGCACTTCTTTTTTTCCTATCCAAACACCCCTAAATATATTTTTCAAAATATAATGCTCTAATAGGAAGAGGTGAAAGTATAATTGTAAGATGCATTCATTGTATGCACTTTGTTTAGCATGTTTAGTTCACTCTTTTGCATTGCAATTCAATAATTAATCATGTATTTTAATCGTTTTTTGAATAAAATTTGGCACACTTCATTTCCATATTTTTTATACCATTTCAGGCAATTACGGGGGTTGGAGGTGATTCAGAATTGTGAAAAAGGTCGGTAGCAATGTGACGGAATTTTCGGAACTCAAACGAAGAATTCAATATTTCATCATAAAATGTTTAACACAGGGCATGTCAAATTAGGCATAAGGCTTCACACGAGTCGTGTCCTACTTGACACAGATCATGTCATTCCAGTATAATTCGACATGGTGTCGTGTCATACGAGGAGTTGGGCCAAATTCAGCATTAAACTTTGGAGATAGATCAAAATAACGCAATATACTTTGAAACCACATGCGGTCATGTCATTTTAGCTATATTTGACATGGGGTCGTCTCAACTGCCTTTTGGCAATTTTCTTTTATGACCTATTGTGGGACTTTTAGCCATTTTGGACATTATCTCTCATCCAGGGCGACCAAGGGGCGATTTTTGCAGAAGGGTTTAGCTATTAACTTTGAGGAGATCAGTTGGACACATTTTATTTCATCTTTGTAAGAAACTTTGATACTTTAATTTCATTTCTAGACTTGTTGATTTTATTCTAGTTATGTGTTGCTAGAATCCTAGGTTTTCCAATTTTATGTCTTGACCTGCCATTTGTGGTTTAATTATATGAATTAATGTTCATGTTCAATCTTTTATCTAGTGAATTTGATTATGTTTCAACAAAGAGTTTGATTTAAGTTTTAATTCTTATTAGCTATTTGAATTAGGGTTAGATCATTCAAGTTATCAAATTGCAAATTTTGTAATTTTTTTGTGAATTAGAACTAGTAACGAGCATTAAATTGACTTCCGATGAATGTTATTAATGTAAATATTATTCACACATTCTTACGCTCTCGGGCTTGTGAGGAATATTATGTGTTGGTGGGAGCATTCACATAAGGCTTGATGCAGTCTTTTGGTTTATCTCTAAGAGCTTATTTAGATTCGAACTAGAATATTAAGTTAGTTTTAAATCTAATAAATTGGAGAATGGGAGGTGTTAGAGCCTATTTTAAATCTAATAAACGATTAATAATGATGATGATGATTAATCAGATAAAATAAGGTGTATTGAAAATTAATTAAGAAGATTTAAGTAAAGTTATTAAATTTTAATTTAAGAAGTTTGTATTGAATTGAAATCAAGGATTAGGGGTGTAATATAAGCATGCCGAAAATTCAATGAGCTAATCATGTTATTTCCAAAAATATGGTGTTATGTTGCTCCATACACCCAACAACTTATAGGCTTTCCTCCCCCGCCCCCCCCCCCCCCCCACCCCACCATTTTGTTTGAACTTGCATCATATTCTCCATAAAGAAACAACACAAGGCTCTGTTTTATCCATTGAATAAAAACCAAACCCTAGCAATGAAGGTTTAGTGTTAGGTGTGTTTTACATGCATTTGCTAAAGAGAAATTTAGAGTGCAAAAGGAGTGAGAGAATTTAGGAGAATATTTCAATGAGATGTCGATCGATATTTTCGAGGTGGAGAAGAGTGAAAGCAAGATATTTTTCTTCACAAACCATTTTTTTGTGTTTTCATGAGATTTTAATTAAGTTTCTCTGTTGAACATGGTCAGTAATAGAAAGAGAGATGAGAAGGAGTCCAAATGTTACTCCCGTGAAGCTTGGTTACATATTGTTTTCCTTTATGCTACTCCTCTTTTACCTGCAGAATCACCTATGTTGAGTAGTAGTTTTAACGAGTAAAGAGGAAGACAGAGTTGTTGTGTTTTTCCTGCAGACTATGGTGCGCTTTCAACGACCATAAAAGTAGTGTTCTATGTGACATCCCCAATTTCACGATCAGAAAAGACCGATTTGTTTATGCTTTGTTTTTTTTAAATCAGAGTAATCTTTTAAAGAAAACAGTTGCGGAATTTGTTCCGAAAACAAAATGTGATAAGAATTTATCAAAGCATTTCTTAAAGAAATGTATTTTCATTATATAACAAAATATCGGGATGTCATGTTCCGATACAGGCACATAAGCATAAACAGAACATACATTTATTTACACTAGTGATTTACATCCCCTTTAATCTCTCAAGTGAAATATGTCTTCGTATTGATACCTGTGATACACAGAAAACTGAATGGGTCAAGCTTTGGAGCCTGGTGAGCATATAGGGTTTTCAACCCACAATGTTATATCATACATATATACATATAGAACTCACAAACTTATATAATTTCACCATATAAAAACAACTCTTATCCTACCCCATCGATCCCCAGAACGACACAATTTAACTCTCATATCTAAAATTTTCCTCTTTACCTGATCCATACTCACGAATCTAAAACTAATCTCTTCACCTGATCCATATTCTCGGATCTAAAACTAACCTATTGGTCTGATCCATACTTTCGGATCTAAAACCTGTGCCCAATCCATACTCCCGGACTAGGGACAATTTACTATACCTAAATTCTGATCTGATCCACACTCCCAAATCTAATAACAAGTTTATCTTGTTTATTGACAATATCATTCTCGAGATCCCTATCGCAATACATGTCAATGGGTTTTTAGAGTACACCGGTGAACACATTGTTCACAAACACCTACAAGTTGCGAGTCTGCTAGTGTTCCACTGACTGTCTATAATAGTTTGTGGTTGTCATCCCTACTCTGCTGAATGACCGGGGCCATCATTTGGGTAAAGGTTTCACTCATTTTCCATTTGTCACCCTCATCTCAATATCTATATCACCTCTTATCTCATTACCCAACTCATCCTTTTATCACACACCAACTATCTCCACTACCCATTTTCTACCCAACATATTTGTATATATAAAATACATATACAGTTTAACTCATTTAAAAACTATATAAAATATCCATTCCACACTCATATCAAATAAACAACAATATATAAACACATAACACATATTTCATAACAAATATTTAATATTTATGTGTTAGAAGAAAGTGACGACACACTCCAACAAAACATATACTTAATACATTCAAACAATACTTGTATTAAAATCGTGTTATGAAAGTGACTATACACTCATGTAACACTCGTGTTTTTAGCCTAGGCATTTATATTGAGTTGATAGTCTGGGTTAACCATTGTAACTCATTTTGAAGAAATGAAAAGGAATTATGTGAATATTATGTGAATTATGTGTTTTATGCTTAATTATTAGGGTTTATTTAATTAAGAATAAAAATAAGCGTCAAAATTAAAGTTTGAGATAAGCCCAATATCTTTACATAAACTTGTAGTGCTCGAAATAAGGATTTCAGAGATATAAAGAATGTCGAAATCCGAGTCATAACGAAGAAGTTATGACCTGTCGAAGTTTCGCGATAAACCGACACGGTGCCGAGTGTTGTAAAAAGTGAGTTTTTGATAAACTACTTTTTAGCCTCAGTGATCTAAACAAAAGTCATAGTATTCGTTAAACCGAGAAGTTCGATAAAAAGAACGCCCAAATCTGACTTCGTTTGAGGAAGTTATGATTTTTCGAAGTTTCAGCTTATTCGTTATATAGATTCGTTATAAGGGAATTGACATGTCTAACAAGGATAAAGACTTAAATTCGCCTTATTCGTTATATAGATTGTAATGGACAGGACTCGTAGAGGAGCTGCAAATGCAAACGAAAACAGGGGTCAACAGCCTCAACCTCAAGTAGTTGAGCAAGTACCTGTTGTAGGAGCTGCACCTGAGCCAATGACGATGGGTGGGGTACAAGCAATGATACATATGATGTTAGATCGACAATTGTAGGAGACAAGGAGATTACTACAACAACATAGGGAAGAGACCACGATGCTTATTGAACAACCCGTATTGAATGAAGGGCAATCAGTAGGAGGGAACTACAGTGGGACTCTTGGTCAAGCCAACCCACTGATAGTTAGACAAAACAACCAGGATGGAGGAGTTGATGGACGCGGATGCAAATACAAAGATTTCATGGCATCTAAACCGTCGTGTCTATCTGGGAGTCCGACACCAGTGGAAGTCATGAATTGGATCTCCGAAATGGAGACGATGTTTGAAAGTTGCAAGTGCAGCAACAAACAAAATACTGCACTTGCAATCCCTCTGTTAAAGTCTGGTGTGTTGAGTTGGTGGAAGTTACTAGCTGATTCGATGCCCAAGGGTGAAGCTAGTAAGATGTCTTGGCAAGATTTTGTGGTACAACTGAAATTGCAGTACTGCTCCGAGCAGGATCTTCTGGAAATCAACAATGAGTTCCAGAATTTAAAGAAAGGAAAGATGAGTGTTACTGAATACGTTGCTAGTTTTATGGAAAATATGAAGCTTGTTCCTCATCTAGTTCCAACTGAACTCTCTAAGGTCAACAAGTTTGCCCTCATATTTCCAACGGACTTTGGTCCGATGGTTAAGCAAGCAACCACTTTGAAAGCCGCCATCTGGGCTGCTAAGAATGTTGAGGTTCAGATCAG